AATGTTAATAATCTGATATAGCTGTAATATATTTTTTTTAATACCCAAGAAAAAAATTACACCACATAAAAGACCATGAGGTTATATTTTAGTTTTCTAGAAGCTGAGATAGTCATATTAATATATTATGAAGGCATTGTAGCAAGAGTGCTAGGATTTTAATGATAAAACATTCAGGGTCAGCAGAAAATATATATCATCATCTGCAAATTCATTTTAGATATAATAAAATAGCATAGCATAGGAGATCTGTCACATCTTAAATAGGATAAATGTTATTTATACTTTATGCTGCAACATTTTATCTTCTGAAGAAGCAGGAAGGTACAGCAGGATTCAGTATTTGATCATGTAGCATCTGCAAACGTGCAGAGCGGCCACAGCAGCTCATCCAACAGCAACAATCCAGGGCTGCAGGAATTGCCATGAGTGGGGAATGCTGGAGGCCAGCTGAGGAGAGAAGGCACGCACACCTGCCCCACACAGAGTCAGGTGGGCCCTGCTGAAGGGATGCAGGTGGGACAGAGGTTGTAACAAGGGGAGCAGGCAGTGAGTGAGGTGCTGAGGAGCTTTGGCCAGCCTGGAGTCGCTCGACCTGTGGGTGAGTGAGTGAGTGACCACTTGGGTTTCTCTGCAAGGGAAATGTGATGGGTCAGGCGCAGCTGGTGGCAAGCAGGGGAGGGGGAAAGCTTGTGGCAGTGAGTGATTGCCTTTGGGATTGAGCTCTGGTGCTTGCAGGGCTGGCTACACAGGTTGAAGCAGCTCTGACAGAGCCCAGGGAATGGCAGGAATCCATGCTCCAGCACCAGCAGGATGTTGGGCACTGGTCTATCCTCGGTTGACTAAAACCTACTGACTTAAACCAAGGTCGGAAATGTTGCTTGCAGGAAAGGCTTCTTAAGCTGTTAATTTGTTGATGGCTTTGTGAACTGTTGAACAAAAGAGCAGTGATTTTCTGAAGGTGTGATACGCTTAGATGGAACATGCTACATTAATGTTGGCCCTGTTCTGCTCAGAAATGCTTTTGACAGTAGATCACAGCAATGTTCTTGTGCAGTACTAGCAGGTAAATGTCAGGAGGGGATCTTTGAAATCCATGTAGCATCAAGAAAATGGGGAGAATTTGGAAGGAATGCAATTTATTATCTAACTTCTCAATTATTCTTAATATTCAAAATCTGGCAGCAGTGGCTGTATGTGCTAAATGCCTGCTAAGGAATTGCAGGGCGCTCCACAGGAACTCTGAATGTTTTGGCAAACAAAAGCCCCAAGGTTAAGCTCTGCATAATGCTTTCTTGGCCTGCACTGCCAGACTTAAGAGGAGGATGCTGAAAAAGCCAACTGTGAGCATATGCTGTTGTCCTCTGCATACCCTTCCTTCTAAGTAGTACTCAGTACAGCTTTGTTGTTCAGTCCTAGATAGGGAAACGTCTTTAGTGAATTTCCTACATCTTCTTGCTTAAATCCGTGCTCAATAATTATTAGTTTTCTAATAAGGCAAAAATGGTAATAATGAGTGGACATATTCTGTTATTCCTGAGGAAGAAAGCAGAGTGCAAATACCTTCTCATGGGATGCAGCTTTGCAGTAGTTGTTTTTTCAGGCAGGATGCAGTTGGGTTTCTGCAGGCTTCCAAAGTAGGCTAGTGAAAGGTCACATCTCAGTTGTTACCACCTTGAGCTGGCACACCCTGTGAATTTGTGTTGGCATCCAGGGTTAAGTCTTTGCACACCTCTCCTGATGGTGGGAAAATCTCAAAGGGGCTCATCCATGTCTCTGCCATCAAAATAAGGTGTTGAATTTAAATCAGACTGGAGGTACCCTAAGGGTTTATGAGCCTGACTAGCAGGGATTCACTTTCAAAATAATCAACTCCTGTCTCTATGCCAAAAATAAAACAGTAGGAACAGCAACATGCAACTATAGCAGTAAAATACTTGTATTACCTGTTTTGAAATTGTGGGGGGTTGGCATTTTTACACTCTAATGATTTTTTTTTTTAATTAGCATTTTTGTAATGTGAAAATCTACAACAGATGTGACGTAACATCGAGATGAAGTGAAAACATTACTGGGGCCCTGAGGCACTCAGTATTTCTCATTTCAGAAGGAAACCAAAGTGAATTTCAAATTACAGTTAAGTTTGGGAAATGCTTTGGGAGAATCACAGGCTGCAGAAGTGAGGTTTAAAAGAATGTAGCAAACACTTTAGCATACTTTAGTCTTAGAAAATAGTAGGAGTTGGGATAGCTGCAGTAGGCTTTCTCATGCTTTGCAATTGTTTTTCAGCAAACCTGCTTATCTGTAATAGCTTAATTTGGTGAGACACAAATGCAATTTATTTTTCCCCCTTCCATATTGAAGTACAGGCTTGTGAACTTAATGTTTGTTTACCAAAGGGAAACTAGTGACTTTTCTATGGATTACTCTTCACATCTGTGGTATTGTCTTTTTGATTTTTGTCTATCCTGCTCATGGAAGCTAAAATTTAGGCCCTACTTGTAATTTCCCATGTGTAGTAGACACTTACAGCACACATAAACTTAATAAAGGAGTGTCATAAAGTGTGTTTAGTCTGGAGCTTCATGGGTAGGAGATGGAGAGTCCAAGCTGCAGACAGCTGCTGCCAACTGGACTATTCAGGCTCTGATTTTGTCAACTACTGTGTTTTCTATTAATGTACCTACAAAAAAGAGATGATAAAATTTGTCTATGTCCAACGTGCTTTGAGCTTTTAGCAAATATTTATTAATTACATGAAGACTTTTGGGAGATGAGTAATTACATTTTTGCATCTTGCAGAATCTGATCTCTTCCTGCTTTAAGCAGCTTCATTTTTCAGTCTTGAGAGCGCTTTTCAGTGGAACTGTTGAAATTTAGAACAAATATTTTCATGGTAATGGTTAACATATTAACCTCATGTTTAAAGCTTTGCTTCATCTTCCCCACTTCTGCTCATGCTCATGTTGTGTTCCATAACACCTCCTGACATTTAGGATGAACTGTGGATACTAAAGATTATTGAATTGTTTCCACTTGGATAAATGGGAACTTTGCCATTAGCCCCTCTGGAAATAGGATCAGGACCAGGAGAGATGCATGCAATGTCTTGCAAGACACACTAATACCTTTCTGCCTGAACAAACAGGACTCTCAGCACTTCTAAGTTTGTCCTCTAGCTCCCTGTGATATCCCTGCTAGTACCTTTTCAGCTACTCAGTATATTACAATGATCTTCCCATTCATTTTCTGGAAAGAAAACTAGCTATATTGGATTGATCAAGACTCCCAGTCACAGGTGCTAAATCACACCTGAGTATAAAGGAAAATGCATTAAATCTACAGGAGCACCCAATGAATTCATAATGAGCTGGTGCTGTCACCATAATAAACAAATGCAAGAAAAGAGGTGACCAGAGCTTTTTTTTTTAGGTTCTCCAGGCACAATACATGTTGCTGTGATTTTAATTCGAGTCCTACTTAAGCTTTGTTTAAATGGTCATCACAGAGGTTAAAAAAGCTGAAGTGTAAGATTTTATCAAGGTCTTATTTTCCTAGAGTACAACACATAACTCATGGGTATTACTGGTTACATGTCAGAACTGTCCCTCTCTCAAATCAGAACTTCTTTTAACCAGGGACAGGATATTCAAAGGAAATGTACAGCAATGAAGAAAAATGGAACCAATATGATTCTGTCCCTGACCTGTTTATCAATGAAGTCAGAAAACATGTTCATTTTCTGTTCCATCCTGTTCCTGCCATTTACCTTAAGATAACCAAAATTATGCACTTTCTATGAAAGCAGGCTCTGAGGGCCTATCCCAAACAGAGCACCTGCTTTTTACTGCACTGAATAAGCAGAGAAAACACAACACATCACATCACATCCTATCCAGCCTGTGCTGCCACAGATTGTCATGTTTGTCTGTTCCAGCCTGAATCCACCAGATTACTTTAAAGCAGCTTAAACTTGCCTGTTTTGACCCCTGGAAGGCCAGGCATTGCAGGGCTAATTCCTGATCCCAATTTCCAGCCAGGCTGACAGCACAGGCGTTTTCAGTGGTCTGAGCAGCAGCACAAAAGCAAAGCAAATAAATGCCCACTGAGTAGTGACCTTGCTAAATTACAGCAGGTACCTTGAGCATCTGCTGCAGGCACTGCTGTGACCCTCACTTGCAGTGTGCCATAGGAACACACGTTAGCTCTGGAGTATTGATCTAGCAAGGATCAGTGCAAGGGCACTTCAATGAGAAAATGAGTAATTCTTTACCCAGATTATGATGATTAATTCTGTTATGTCAGCAGCCTTTGGCACAGCCAGTGACAGCAGATTTCAGAGGGAAGAAACCTAATTCAAGAGCCAAGAACCTTAAAGAGGGGTTTTGTGTGGTTAAGTAATATTAATAAATGACAGACAAGCAGACATAATTTTACATATATGCAGAAACACATGTACTTTCCTCAGTTCTGTACAGGATTTGATACTGATGTGTGTTTGAATTTGAAACATCAGCAAAGGTTTAAAAACTGGCATTGTTGCTGGAATTGACCAGCCACAGATGGACTCAATGTGGAAGGTTTTGGACCACATGAAGCTGAGCAGAAATTCTCTCACACATGCCAATTTCACAAATAAATAGTGTTGAACTGGAAGGTGTTCTGCTTCTGTCACTTCAAGTTTGGTTATGCAAAAAATTAATTAAGACATCTCTCAGGTACATCATTTAAGATAGGCCTTTGCACATGATATTGGATGTTTCAATATTTGAAGGGGATTTGGCTTCCAGACAGTGCATTCACTTGTTTCCTCTCCAGTTCTGAAGGCATGCACTCACCAGTTGTGCCCCCTGCTCCTACAGAGTTTCTCTCTCAGCTGCCATAACCAACTTGTGCTCTTTGGCAGTTTGTTTTTGTCCTGGATGGATCCCAGCTCTTGTCTTTCATGCATTTAGTAGGAGATGTGTTTAGGAGGGAAGTATCAAGACCAGGTTTTCCAATCCTGTTTTGCTATGAAATGTTAATTTGGCAATCCTAACATCATTAAAAACGATTCTCAATAGGGTATGCTCTGCCAACACATGACCTTTAGCTGTTAAGAAAGAGTAGAGAAACACCACAAAAGCAGGTAATGATATAATCAGTTCAGTATTTGACAGGTAACAAAAAGGGCTCTTTTGCATTAAAGCGTGGCATTTAGAAAGCTGGAGCAACACTTTAGGTGGCTGCCCTTGTATCATGATCTGTCTGCTGTAAAACATTCCCCTACAGAGGGAAAATAAATGCCATCACTTGGATCTGTAGATGGGTAATTAACATGTTCCCTTTCAAATCAGAACCACTGCAAACACTTCTGCAGGTGTCACCTTCTCAGCTCAGAAGTGCTGATCATTTGCCTTGTACTGGCAAGCTTGCATAGAACAGAATTTGGACCCAGCATTTTGAACCCTCCATGTTTTCTCCTTCTCAGTTCATACACGACGTTCTTTCCTATCTTTTTTTTTTTTGTTGTTTTTAACATATGCAAGGAAAAGAGTTGAAGGCTAGGTACAGAAGAAACCAGAAGTCTCCTTTTCATCTAATGAGAAACTGCCTTACAGATTTTTGTGGCAGAGAGGATACCAACATTTTATTTCCAGAAAAGCTTTGATTACCTGGGGTGCTCTTACAGTGACTATACACAGCCCCATCAATTAATATCTAATAATAAAAGTACTGAAAAGGTGATGTGCAAATACACAGAGAACTACATTGATCTGCCATACTGACATAAACAAGGAAGTAATTTCAGTGTCAATTTACACTTTGTATACAACCTGCTTTCCTACTATTCAAGGGAGATCAATATTTATGACAGTTCATTAGAGAATGCAGTTGACTTTTATTGTGCAGACCAAAAAGATGCAGCCACAAACCCACCACTGCATTAATGTACGAAATCAGTTAACAAAATTATTGTAAAAAATAACTTAATTTCTGGTGGGCAAATGGAAGCAAGTTCTACAGCTTTCCCACATTCCTGTGTTGATAGGAGAAAGTGGCATTGAACCATACATACTGAGTAACTCAAGGACAAAACCGTTCTGTTTAGGGGAATAAAAATATCCCTATATTCTCCCCCAGTCCCAAACCCATCATCAGTTCATCTCAAGAAAAATGTCCTTTGGAGTTACTGCAGAAGTCTCACACTCTTTACTCTCTAACTCTGATATGTAAGTACCTGATAGAGCTATCCTACTGGCATGTACACAACTCAGTGAAGCATTGCTTGGCTCCTTCCAAATGTTTTTAGCTTGCCAGCATACTAAGCTTAATCTTCTGATTCCTCATAATGTGCATACCCACTAGCATAGGTCCTTCCTAAATTCAAATTGCTGAACACATCCGTGGCCTCAGAATCTGAATCTTTCCCTCGCTCATCATTGTCATCTTCATCATCATCTTCTGCTTCATACTCATCATATTCATCCTCACGGTCACCTGCATCCCCACTCTTGTTGGAGGAAAGGTTTTTCCAGTAGGCATCATAACCAGAAGCTCCATCTGTATCTTCTCCTCCAGTCTGGCGGCCAAACTTCAGAGAGCGTGCTGCAGGCAAAGAGAAATCATCATGTTCCCACCAACATTTATTTTCTTTTTTTTTTCACTACTTAAAGAGTAGTTTAAACAGCAAGTATTTTTCATTTTTTCCACAACTAAAATCTCAAACTAAACAAAAGCTTTCACTTTCTTGGAATCAATTAATGGTTAAGAATGAGACCGCTCAGTTCCAGAACTCAGAAACACAAAGTTTTCCTCAAAACAAATGAAGCTAAACTGTGCAAAACAATTGAAAGCAACCAGAATTTACTCAGTGCTCCTAGGCAGAAATTAGTCACTAATGGCACTTGTATGGCTTGTTAGCTAGAGAAACTGGCTTACTTGACATGCTCAGATCCTTTGTCTGCTGAGTTTCATGGCCACATTTAGGGCAAGGAGGCTTTTTCCCTTTTTCCTGCTTGAAAACCTTACTTCTCACATGATCGTCACAAAAACAAGCCTGTGTGTTGAAGGGAGAATACAAAGACCAAATGTTTTAATCATAGAAGCACATTCTTCAGCAAGAAGCAAACAAAACTGTGTCTAACAGCAGCAGAGTTTTCTGGCTGACATTAAAATTTAATGAGGGCTCTCTTCAGTGGACATGGGGTCTATGCACAGAGGAACCACTCTGTGTTCAATGTGGTTCCAGGGTTTCTGGGGAAGAAGCTGGATAAAAATGCCAATAAACAAGCAGAGAAAGTAACATACGCCAGGGCTGGATTGCAGTGCTGCCCACAAGGAGCCTGGCAAACTTGGCTTTGTGTTGACAAGCTTAAATAAACATAGTGAGATGTATGCCAGGACAAATCTATGCAGGGGCCTGAAGGCAAGAATTAGAGATGGGAAGTTCACACACTGAGCACTGGCATGCAGTGAAAATACCTGGAAAAAGAAACTATTTGGAATAGGCCATCAACACCATGGGAGAGTGCAGGGAACACATATGGAGGGTAAGAAGAGTAAGAGCAGGCAATGAAGCAGCACCTGGAGAAATCTGGGCAATGCTGATGATGAAGCAGGTGGAACTTTTTATACAAAATTACTTCTGAGTGCATAAAACAAATGTCAACAAAACAGCCTGTCCACATGGAAAACTGGATTAGCTGTGGAGATTAGTCCATTGGATGCAGCCATTTCTGGTCATATAACTACTTCACTGTTCAAAAGAACAACTTTTCTAATTGTTTTAGTTCCACACTGGTTCAAAGCATATTCCAAAGCCTTGGATTTTGTTCATGACCAAGGATTTATTTTATTAACTTGTTTTTTTTAAAAGCCCCAACATGTTGCAGGCCCAACTTCAGCTAAGAGGGCAGGGCAAAGATCATCTCACACTGTCTTGTGTTTAACAGGCAAGCACAGATAAAAGGCCTTTTGTCCCCCACAGGTCTGATCCCAGGCTACAGAAACTAACAAAAAATTATGAATGTCATTTTAATCATGGAGAGGAAGGGATGGTAAGGCCTGATACCAGCCCTGGAGGCCAAGGAGAAGGAACTTAAAATCAGCTCCTCACAAGTGTCTTTACTCTTTACCTTACAACGCAGGCAGGAATGCTGCCCCAGCCTGTTACAGGAGACACCTGTTGGAGAAAAGCAGTAATGACAAATTCAGTACTTGGGAACTGAAGACCTTCATGTTTTTAAAACCTTGTAAAAGTATGCAAAGCCACAACTGAGGCATTTAGTTTTAATTCCCTGACACAACTGCACTCTGCAATGTCAATCAGTCATTTTACCCCACAGTACTATACTTCATAACATTTTCAAACTCTAAATCTCATTTATGACACAAAAAAATGAAATTTCAAGATGGGAAAAACGTTTAACTATTTCTTGAGCTTCCAAACTTTTAAAACCTGAAGTTTCAGAACCAATTTGGTGTTAAGGTTTCATCATGCTTTTCCTTTTCTCACAACATTCAGAAGGAGTGCTAAAGATGTAAGAACACTTTAAGCTTGCAAACTTCCAAACCCAGAAAAGTTGTTACATTTTGTATTTTCTGTCATATCCTCTGGAAATGTACTTGACTGCAGAAAACTTCATAAGAAAGTCTATCTGTGTTAAAGAACTGGAGCTGGCACAAGCTGTAAGAAGCAGAATCAGTGCCCAAAATTTAACTTGTCTTGAGCTCCAAATTGTTTTTACTATTCCACTAGAGGGAGTACAGTAAAGGCAGACACTCGGGAATTGGCAGCAACACGAAGTTTGGTGAATAGTTACTCCTCAAAAAGCAGTAACATGTACTTTACCAGTTTCTGTGCAAGTACTCATTCCTTTCCTCCCTGTCTAACCCCTGCGACAGCAGTTTTTGAATCTGAAGTAATAAATATCATGAGTTCTCCACATGAGCAGGGCAGATGTGGGATTTAGAGCTCTGACATGTGTTTAAAGATGGAACTGGAAATGCTGATGCATATAGATTCATCATTTTTTGAGTATCTAAAAAGCTCTCTCAGATAATGATAGAAAGTAACACTACCTTTTTCACAGTTAAAATGGATTTTTACTACAACTGCATGACCACATTTGAAGATCATGTATTCTGTAAAAGTACGGGTTTTATAATCTTGTTACCTCATTGACAAAAATCTTGTCTCTACCAAGTCTGTTCTGTGCTACAAAACACCAAACACATTGAAAACCATAAAAAAAACTCTCTCTCTATTCAGGGTGTGATACCACATCTGTGAACTGGGAGCTTCCAACAATCATTGAAAAAACATTCTTGTGGAACAGCTGTTGCTGCATCAATATTGCTATGCAGGAAGAAATCCTGGCAGAATACATCAAGGGAAGCTAAGCAAGGCTTAAAATATAGCTGGTAGGAACAAAAATATGGGAGATGAAAAGGAGATAAGAGATATCTAAAGACACCGAGTAAAACATTGAAATCACAAATATTCTGGACCAGGAGAAATCAATTAGGACAAGAGATTAGTCACTTCAAAGGAAAACAGCCTTATGATAAAGAGCACCTTGAATTTCCACAATAAGAATTGAGAATGTTGTAATAGTCAAAATACATGCATACAAGTTTTAGGAAGGACAAACAAATACTTGTCTTGTGATAAACCAAATCGTATTTAATGGTGGGTAGGCAAGAAATACTGGTAGAAAAATTTAGTTATTTCAAACATGCATAGTCTTGACTTGTTTTGTTTTATTGGTGTTTTTTTTTTTTAACTTCCCTTGAAGATTCCCTGTTTCAGCCAGAGATGAGTAATGGGTGAACAAAGTCAGGCACGGCCATCATGTCCTCTTACCAATACCAGTTTCAGTTTTGTCCACACAATTAATCCAAGTTCAAAAGGACATAAAGTGTTCAGCTACCTGTGCTTTACTCAGAGTGAGCACAGATCAGCATCTGATACACTACTCACACATATGTCCACAGTCCACTGGTCAGAGATCAGTGAAAATCATGATATGATGAAATCATGTTCTGGGATTATTTTTGTCACTTCCCTTTGTGCTCCCTCTGTCTCACTGAGTCAGATGATGACTGCTGAGTCACACCCTTCCTCAGGACTTGAGCAGCTGCTAAGCTCTCACCAGCACACAGGCCTTCCACAGCAACCTGGCAAAGTTTAGCCAGACTAAGACAGGTGGCACTGTTGAGGGCAGCTGTCTTCCAGGAGGAATAATTATCTAGAACTAGCTCATCACTGGTCAGAAGAGTGGAACACAGCTCCTTCTGCCTGCAGAGCTTTGTGAAGTGAAAAAGCAGCATCAGCAGTTCCAGTTGTTTTGTTGCAGTCCTGCCACTGCCAACACTCCAACTTTGGAGAATGCTGGCTCCTGCAGGGGCAGCTTCCCAAGGGAGGCCTGTAAGAGCCTGGCAGGAAAGCAAGTGCCATGTATGCTCTGGCATGGGGGAAGGTCCATGAAAAAGAAAAAAGTTCTAGTCTGGATAACTGGATACCAAAAGCCAGTAGATAGGAATCAGGCCCTTCCCTCCAGCAGTGGCAAAATCTACTTGGGAAAGGTGATGGAGAGGACTCTGGAGCACAGAGGAAGAAAGCAGAAAATCTGCTTGGCTGTGGTGAAACGGACTATGAATAACTAACTTACATTTAAATGTCTCTGCTTCCAAAACTTGGCAGCTGGCTTGATGTTCAAACTGATCATCTTCACAGAGGAAATCATGGCAAAAAGAGCAGGCAAATATTCTGCCTCCTGAAAGGTTTATCAAGACAAAATAATCAACAATGGGAACAGGCATCAAGTCCTGCTCTGCAAACAATTTAGGCAGTAGTTTTGACTGAAGACCAGTTCTCCATTTGTCACAAATGCTTCAAGGTCCTAAATTAGACACTGCCGTCCATTTTTACACTGAAAAATACCTCGTATCTGACAACATAAGATAGCATAACTATGAAGCAAGTATTACTTCTATTACTTTCCTTAATTTTAATTTGACTGTAGCATTAACTGTTTTTCTGAAATCAGATCACACTCTCATCCAGTCTTCTCCACTCAGCTCTGAGACACACTTGAAATAAACACTTTAAAGGATTCCATAAATGGAGACCAGTATGGTTTCCTAAGCCACTGGGAATCCAAATACCTGTGCTAGTGTAGAATGGAGTAAGAATGGCAGAAAACCGTGTTAGCAATTTGATGCACTGCTTAATTATGTGAATAATTAAGCTGATAGAAACATTATAATTTAGACTACATAATCATCCCTGAAATGAGCACTCTATGTTCTTGAGCAGGTCATTTCCTTTCCCCACTATTTCTAAAATGGGGAGAATCCTTGCTTTGAATAAACTTACTGCAAGGACTAATCAGTGAAGACTAAAAAGGCTATATTAAGAAAACAGGTGCTCTAACTTAAGCAATGCAAGGAAAGAAGTGTAATTTATATTTTCTTATTTTTAAATGTCAGCAACCTACCGTGGTCCCAGACACTTCTTTCACACTCAATGCATTCTGCATCTGCCAGAGGGCACATACACGCATGGGTGCTGAGACACTTCCTCCCATGGCACACCCAGGCTTCACAGAAATCACAGATTGCACCCTGCAATCACAGCAAGATAGCATCTCAGCATTTCTGCAATACCAACAGACACTTATCCCATAATCCTCAGTGTATCCTAGTATCCATTCTCTCAATGGGCTCGTTTGAGTTGAATGAGAGTATTGAACCAAACTTGTGTTCCAATCAAGCGGCTTCACAGTTCATGTTTGTTTGTTATTCATTTCTGCAGGATTATGATGCAAAATAATTTGGTTTTCTTATCTCAATTCTGTCTTTTACATTTCTTATCACACATTTTGCACATGGAAAATCGTGTTCTCCAGTTGAAACCTGAGATCCATAAACGATAACAATGTTCTGCAAAAATGAAATTTCAAAGGAGACCTGAAAAATGCCTCTAGACTCTTACAGCTGAAATCACTAATCTGGATTTTAAACTCTGCTATATTAGAGCACAAGCTCTGCATAGAGCAAAGATCAAATAGGTCATTAGAACTAAGATAGATTCTTTAACTTTTATTTTGATTCAATTATAAGATCTCCACTTCAGCTATCCTTAACTAAGAAGCCTTCTCAGCCCATAGGTAACTAATTACTATGTGCATTACATGCACATAAAGCTAAGAAAACAATGATGAATCCAAATTTAACTGTTGATGCACTCACTCTTGCATTAGTGAATGCAAGGGATGAGTTCAGGCATGCCAGCATGCAAAGGCTGGCTGTGTTACTGAGAATAGCTGACAGCCAGCTGCAGGCAGCAACAGGACAGAGGTTTAGTCCATTTAATCCAGGAGCTGTGACAGGTCACACCTTGCTTTCCAGAATGCAGACACTAACTTGTCCTTCTAAGAACAAAACTTCAAAGGCTTGAAGCTATGATTATCTCTAAGAGCTCAAAAGGGGGGTTTTGTTCATTAAAATTCCCCTCTAATGGAACAGATTCCTCTCTGTGATACTGATGATCTCTGTGACAAAAGTCTGCAGGTTTCTACAGAATAATCCTACATTTTAATGAAGGCTGGGAATTGTCTATGGGGCATATAAAGGTCCAGTGCTCTTCATGCATGTGCTTAGAGCCTGCCACTAACACAGATCCATCAGCATCCAGGACATGTGCTGGAGTTTGCAGGAGCTGAATCTAAAAATGAAAAATTTAGGGGTTTCAGTGTAAGGGGAAAAAAAGCAGTTTGTTACAGAAAAGCGAGGAGAAAAGCAAATTTGGCATGGTACATGCTACCATTCCATAAATCTGTTTTATCATTTTTCCAGGAAGATTTGCACAGAATACCCTCATGGTGCAAAAAAAGCTGTAATTTTATATACATACCACCATAGCTAGTCCAGTACTGTACACACCAGCATGTTTTATAACACAGTCTGAAGACTTCATCATGCATTTGGTTTTTCCTGTTTAAAATAAAAAGGCAAGGAACCATAAGAAAACTATGTAAAATTAATTTTTTTTTAAAAAGTAGAATGCATGTTTATGTAAGAACAGCACTTCAACTAAATGCCTGTGCTGAACCTTAAATCTAGGTAAAAATAATGCAAACAAAGATGTTTGCATTATTGCTGCATTCTGCAACCCACCTTCACACCTCTCTTAGGTTAAACTAATTATTGTCTGTTTTCAGTCAAATCTCTTGCCCCTGTACTGAGATAGTAAGATAATGTGTTGGTCTTGTTCTGTGTTTTGATGTAAAAATTTCAAATGTCAAAACAAAGAACAAAACTAAGGTCAAAGTCCAGCAATGAAACCTTAAAGAGTTATGTTTAAAACTGCTGCTAGTTCTGTCCCACCATCAAAGCAGCTGAGCTGGGCAGTGAGAGGTGCTGGGGGCATTGCTGGGTGTGGAGCACTGCAACAGAGCTGCCTTGCTCCCACCCCTCACAGGCTCCTCTGTGAAAGATGCTGTTGGTTTTTAGTCCCCAATGCTTGATTAAGCATCAAACAGCTCTAATGGTGTGTGTTTGGAAACCCCTGGCTCTCAACATAGTATGGCTGTTGACAAGAATGTTTTTCCTCTACAAACATACTCCTGATGAAGATAAATGCAACACACAGATAAGAACCATAAGATAGAGGGCATGTTTTTAGTACTTCACTGCATGGTGACAGAAAGGAGACTTATGAGGGTGACACACTGTCACTGCACACTAACAGCCTGGCTTCCAGAAATGCTCAGTATCTGCAGGTCACAACAAAGGCACTGAAAGCTGCATGTCAGCAGCTCTGACAGTCAAACTCCAAAACAGCCAAATTGCTTAATGACAAATTGAAAATCTGCAATGATGTGTTGAAATAGTGGAACAACAAAATTGACTTCAGTATGAAATGAGTACCAACATCTCCTAGAAGCAAGAAGCTGCTTAAAAACAAAGGGCATTTTAGCCTGATTCAGAGCAGTTCTGTCACTAGAAGTCCTTCTCTTCTAATTTCAAAGCATCAGTCCTCAAGCCCACATAAATAGCAAGAGTTGCAAATTACATTACAATCCCATGCAAGGTGAATAATATATTGTTACTTTAATTGATATTGAATTGATTAGAAATTATGTAATCCCTTTAAAAGTGGTAATTATTGGTGCCTTGTTAGCAGCCAGAGCATTTTTTGTTTTGCTGCTGTTATTAAACAATGCTCCACATGGTCAATCTATGGAAACAGTCAGATTTCTCAAACCTAAAAGGAAGTGAGACAAATTTTTCCAAAGACGAGCCATGGTCCAGGCTCGCAAACCTTTTGGGGTTAAAGGCATATATACTGAACAAAAAAGATCACTTCTCAAGTTCAAAAGAACCTGCTCCACATCACAGAGATACTTTAAGATAAAGCTACTGTAACACAGGTACCAAGAGTTTAACACCACAATCAGGACTGAGGACAGCTTGTTTTCATTCACTATTTCTACTCACCACATTGTGCACAAATGGGCAATTTCTGAACTGAATTACAGAAGTAACAAAAAGCTCTATTCTTCTGTCGTCTAGGTACATGGAGAAGAAAAACAAAAAGAAAGTATTAAGCTTTAAAAGAAAGCTTTTAAAAAATACCTGCAAAGTATCTGAAACAAATATTAAACTACTGGTATTAGAAATGTAAAAATTCTTACCTTTGGCACTTATCACATTCCTAAAGAGAAGAAATAAAACACTGGTAATTATTTTCATTCTAGGTAAAATATATAAAATTTACAGACCTCCACAGGGAGTTACAATTAGAATCCAAACCTTTTAATCAATATTCTGTCTGGTGTAACCTTAAATAAAAAGGAAGGGTAGTTGGAAGAATGACATTCTAGTGGCATTAAATGCAGTCAAGGTGTACTATCACTGGGTTTACAAAATTGAAAATTAGGTATTTTAGTATAGAATACTTGAGGTTAATTTACCATTGAAGCATTACAAGGATGTTTGGCCAAGTCTATGTTGGCTCGTGAAGCCCTGATCTGCTTCTCACGTTCCCGACGGTTCTCAGCTTTCTTACGAGCACCAGTCTTCTTTTTAGGCATGTTGCAATATCTGTGGGGGGAAAAGTAGGTATGGAATGAATGCACACAGAACTATGTATGTAAATACATGGATACACGTGACACATCCAGCACTAAACCTGGACCTTATAGTTCCTGCATTAACTGTGCTTCATCTCCATCTATTTCCTTGTCTGAAAGTTTCTTTTGAAATGTAGAATAAGGGGACAATTCACAAGGAAGTGCCATGTGATGAACCTAAAGAATCTTGTGATCTGGAAAACTTTGCTGTCCTGAACTTTAACTATCTTTGAAGTGTTTTGCCTTAAAAAAAATGAAACTATTACTATTTGTGATGGACCTCTGGTTTTGGTTTGCCTTGCCTGTTCAATAAGCATCTGTAAGGACAGTTGCAGCATCAACAGGCTGTCAATTCTAGCAGCTTCAGCTTGGAAGAAAAACTAGTATCTTCATTCAAAAGGTCCTCTAAATCAAAGAATTCTAACTTTCCTGAACACAGAAATATATTGTCCTGACCAGATACTAAAATTTGTTTTTCATAGCACACATAAATCAGTTTTCTTACCCTGTAGCATTCTGCACTGTGTTTAAATTGTATTAGTGTCAGATTTTGTAGTCAAAATTATATTGCTGTGCTGCCTGCTGGCAACTGTCATTATTCTAGAGTGTGACATTTCTGACACTGGGAGTCCAAGTTAAGGCTCCACACTAATTTTCAAACCACTCAAATGCTGATTTAACAACAGAATCTAATGGCTAGTATTTATACCTTGACTTCTTCACATTTCCTCATAATGGAAAGCACCAAAATGACAAACTGTTTTCATGAAAAGCATTGCCCCAGTGCCTCCTGAGGACACAGATTATGAGAAATTTTAGACAGCAGTTTTCAGAAAGCTGCACTGAACTAAGTAACAGCAGAACTGCACTGTCAGGTCCCCTAAGCAAAGCTGTTGAGCAAATCCATGCTTTCAAACAACATCCAATAATAATAACATCCTATAGATCAAAATTCTTATCACTCTTTCCCTCTGAACTTTGATTTAAGTTGTTTGTTTTCTTCGTGCTGGGCTCAGATTTTTAAAGAAATTTACCATCTTTGTAATTTTTGGACTAGAGCTTAACAATGTTATGATTCCAGAAACTGTGACAGCATAAACCCTGTCTACCTTCAATTCCTTTCCAATCAGAATATCACCTCTTTTGAAACCACTAATTAGTATTCAAATGCCTCAGCAGAGAGTTCTACCTCCACTTTTGGCACACTGTTACCAAATGCTCAGGCAGGATAGATCCAGTGGATTCTGTCTGCAATCCACACCCCTGAGGGGTGTGTGAGAGGGAAAAGTGCATCTGCAAGACCTAAAATAAGAGGTTGTAGGTCCATGCCTGGCTCCCCCTTTGGCTCCAGAGGGTACAACTGTGCTGCCCCAAAGAGCACTGGAGCTCCTGCACAGGGAGCATTCTGCACGAGGGTTGTTTCTCCATTTGAAGTTTCCTACTCAGGGGAGAAATGCTGTGCCTGGGTCACAGCAGCAGCTGTGGGAGTGAGCGTGGCTCTCCAGCTTAATGGCTGATGCTGTGGCACAAGGAAGCAGAGTTCAGATACTGGGAGACTGTGTAGGAATGAGGTGAACAGTTCAAAGGAAAACCCCCTAAAACGTGTTATGTGAGTACTGGGTTCCTGGCATTGTGTTCCACTCAAAATTTTCACCTTCTGTTGCTCTCTTGCTGCATTATTTCCTAAGGCAACCACGGGCAAAGACTACAGATTTCCCACCATAGCTCCAAAGGCTGCTGGTGGATTTTAACTGGTGGTTTTGCTATGTGAGGTGCATTAACAGTGCCCAGCATCTAAGTTCTGCTGAACTCACAGCTTCTTGTCCTTGGTGAGGTCCCAAAGACACACCCTGACTGCACCAGCAGGTTCCTGGATCTCCTGTGCCGAGCAGGATATCTTGCCTCGTTATCTGGTGGCACAGTGCCCACCCTGCTGCCACAGGCATGGTGAGCAGCTGGAACGAGCTATTCACTGGAGGGCAGGGAACTGTGGGGCCACAGATACCAACACCCAGAAGAGGCTTCCCATATTTCAATTTTCATATTGTGCTCGACCATCAAACAGCTTCCACTCGATGCTTCATGTATTCAAAATCTGTTTCACCACTAGTAAAAAATTACAACTAAAAATAACTGTATTAACAGTAGTTCATACTTAATAGGATCATGAACTGAACGCCCTAATAATGCAAAAATCATTTTCCAGGCACTGTGATGCCCATGACTTGCTCCATCCTTTGGAAACAACGCTGCTAAAAACTGCACCGTGATGCCGCAGCAGCTGGGGGCTGCTGTGCTGTAAAGTGTGCAGGGCTTTCCTCAGGCTTCCCTCTGACCCATTCCCTCCTCAGGATCGGCACCTCGTCCCGCCGGGAGCTGGACGGGATCGGCTCCGAGGCTGCGGGGTGACAGCAGGGCTGCTCCTCGCCTGTCACGCACACTGCCGGCCTTCAGCCTTCAGCGCTCTCCCTCATCTTCAGCATTTGGCCCGCCAAGCCGTGCCGCATCACGCTGCCAACCTGGCCCGCCGTGCTCCGCGTTCCCCGGCACTCCGCTACGGGGGAGCCGGACACCGCTCCGCTTGCTCGGGCTTGCTGGGGGGAAGCCGCAAAGACCCGCAACCGGGACCCTCAGCGCCTCTAGCCCAGCCCCTTCAGCGCTCCGGGCCCGCCCCCTACCCCCATTCCCATTCCCATTCCCAATCCCAATCCCATTCCCAATCCCAATCCCATTCCCATTCCCGCTCGCACCTGGCTCGGGCGGCAGTGCGGAAGCCGGAAGCGCCGGTGCTCCGCGGTGCGCTGCCCGCCCGGCCCGCGCCGCCCGGCCGGAACGTTCCGGGCACGATTGTTCCGCCCCTGTCCCCGCACGGGATGCGGCGCGGGCGCCGGGGAAGTGCTTTTTTAAAATGAAATGTTGATTAATCTAAATGGTAGGAATACAGTGTAGCGGGGCTCGATACATATTTCACACAAATAAGATCTAGGGCGTTGCTGTGTGTGCTTTGATCATCGATTCGCTCCGGTGAGGTTGGTTGTGTCGCTTCACTTTGTACTTGAATGAAAAAGAAGGAGAAATCTAGAAAAACCCCAAGGAGATATGTAGACGCTAAGATTTTTACCTTATTTTACCCTTTGAAACAGTATCTGACACAAATATGTTCCAGAAACCACCCTCTAGATGGCAGGAGTTTGTCACTTCATTCATGAATAGTAAAACGGTAAAACATCTTATTTTCAGAACTAACAGAGTGGCCTAGGGCTGTAATACAAGTGAATTTAAAAGATTTAAAAATTAGATGAGAATAGCCAATTTAGAGCTTACAGAATTTCCATTAGCAGCGCTGAACTAGTCTCCGAGGAGTTGTTGCAGATTTGTTTCAAAGAAAATGCATAAAGTAAGGAGAGCCAGCCTCATTTTCAGAGGTGTTTTGAGTTGCCTTTGTGCGAGAAGCAGTGGAAGGACAGCGAGTGTGTCTCTGAAGGGTTATGTTATAAATGAGAGACAAAAGTCTCGATATTCAGCAAAATTTAGATTGCTTTATTTGATACAGAAAGAGCAAGCAGCGCGCTGGGGAACGTGAGGGGTCACCGCCCACTCCACGCTCCACCCAACCTTGGTTTGCAGCCTCTTCTTATACTGTGGTTTCTCGTTGTAATCAATATTTTTTTTGGTTTTTTGTTGTCATAAGCTGTGGTGGTCGAATAAACATCCTTACACAAATTCTCAAAGCCTTTGGGTGATAATCAGTCACAGATAGCCATGTGGTCCTTGTAGATAACCACCAGAGAAGTTCTGGAAGTCTTGACAAGAGGCAGCATTGATCAGACAAAGGCAGGAAAGGCTATTGGGAAGTCTGATTTTGCAAGCTGGTAGCCGATACAACTTACTTGGAAAACATAACATAATATAATATAACATAACGTAACATAATGAACTATAATAAGGTGATTTCAAACACAATGATTTTATCATACAATTTCCTTTATTTAGTGTCCACGCTTCACTTCAGAGCTTAGTATTTTGGTTTATACAAACCCCAGTGTTTTTGTGACTAACACGAATCTTTTATTAATTATCACACTTATTCCACATTACCTTACAGAGCATCAGAACTGTCGTGTCTTTGCTTGATGCCTGCTGTCTGGCTGGCTGGGATAGCAGGTGAGGGCCATCCTACACTGCCTCAAAAGTGTTTGCCTAGTCAAGAGCTTTTGAGACAGCACACGTGTCAGTGACTGTCTTCACCCTGAGCTGAGCTACCTGCAGAGGACACTGGAGACGAAGGTGAAAGTCACTTCTGTAAGCTAAATGATGCAATGACAGCAGAGCTGTTGGTCTTCCCACGCTGAAGGTATAACCCTGCAGCAGCAGATTTTCTCTTCTGTTCCACCCTGCCGTGCCATCACGCATCTCATAAAGTTAGTTTTACCTATACAGAGGGCCAGAGGATGCTAATAAATCAGAATGTCTCAAAAACAAAAGCATGTTTGGATACAGAACAATGAAATTTTGAGCAATATCTTTCCACCTCGCTCTCATATTCACCTTTCAGAGTCCCGTGGCAAGGCTGAGCAGTGGCACTCTGGGCTACATACCTTATGCTGGTCAGATACATATTCTGAGGGCAGTAAATTCACATTTCAAATGGGGATAAATCAGCCAAAGAGTGTTGTGAACAGTTGTCTGAGGGAAGGGTGACTTGCTTTTTCCAGTGGCAAAGCTGAGCAGTGCCACTGCAGCTCCATGTACCAGCCCACATGGACACTGACCATCTTCAGGGTTGTTCTGCTCATCTCACAAAAATCCTTCCTTTGCTGTGAGAGCACGTTTCAGGAATGGACATTTATTTATTCCTTACTCATGTGATAATAAAGGACTCATGCCTTCTCACTTCTGCTACTGAAAATTGTGGAGATCAGAAAGGAAAATCAGGAAATTAGGTGTGTGCACAGCCTCTATCAGAATGGCAATATTCTGGGGCAGATAAGACCTTCATATGCAGTGACACTGGACTATGCTAGATGACAATTAAATATTTTTATATTTGCCTTTTGCTGTGATATCCCAGTCCCTTTAAAGATAAAAGAAAGCACAATACCTCTCAACTTGAAATAAATACTGACCTGAGTTGTTGTCATTTACTTTTAATTGAACTGAAAATTCTTTTTCTCTAAATAATATGCTTGTTCTGATCTAATTAAGCCTCTATTACCTACCTGCCTATTACCATAATTGTCTTCATTATTGCAATGTCTCCTTGCAGCATTCAATATGTTTGCCTCCCTGGGGATTGCATTGTAAAATAGGTGCAGCATATACCTTTCTAAATGACCTTTGAAATGGCATACATCAAATTTAATTTGTTTTTAAATCCTGGCCTTGCAGCAAGTGACCTTAAAAGTCATGTCAATATTTGTTTGATGTAGGATAATTTTTTTCTGAAGACATTTATACTTGCTGATTTAACTACATAAAGAAATGGGAAACAAAGAAAATAACTTGAGGCAAAAACCTTTACTGATGTCTACTGAATTGGCATGTTCAAATATAATATTTTAAAATAAGCATCCTAGAATTAGATGCTGTAAAGTTTTCTTGTGTGTGTGTGTTTTCTTTTCCCCTTGCTATTATACCTGATGCTTGCAGTCATTAATCTTAGCCCTGGAAAGTCATTCCCCAAGAAATTTCTAGATGGTTATTTTGCCTGGTCAGTGGTTGTGGAATGTATCAAGAGGGAAAAGAAGAAAGATAAGAGATGAAACAAAAGGAGAAAATTTGCTGTTAAGTGATTAGAGTCTTGATTCAGGGAGCTCACTCAGTCTTCAACTTCTTTATTAAAATCTATTAATCTTTCCTATGATACTCAAGTTGCATTTTTTCACATTTCTTCCATGACTTCAACACAATACTGAACAGCATTTTTATTATGGTACCTTACTGTGGCTTTTTTATTTTGTTTTTTGAGATGAAAGATATGCAGTAAAGCTAGTACCAGGATTTATGTGCACAATTAACGTGCTATCATATGTTAATTACCATATAATAATTAAGATTGTTGAGGTGAGAGGATAGTGCAAGACTAATCAGTTACTCATTTTGTAACATAAGGGGGAAGCTATAATTTTTTGCCACAGAGAAAGAACTTGTTGTCTGGTGGCAAGTTATTAGCATTGTTTTTCCATGATGAGATTGCAATATCATAAATTACCTTGTTTCTCTTCCCTCTGATCCCATCAAAAGGCTGGCACATGGTGATATATTTGCTGCACAGGTGACATTGGGAGGCTTTGTTTGTGAAGA